AAGGCCAGCTCTGTCCTGGGGAGTCCTTTGGACACTGTGGAGGTGGTGGGAGACAGGAGAATGGCAGCCAAGTCCTGTCCTCCCTGCTGGACAATATGTCCCATCCCCTCCAGGACACCCTGTCCTCACTGTGCAGCACCTTCAGCGACAGGATGCTGCACCCCCGCTGTCTGAAATACCACAGGTCCTTCCTTCCTGCAGCGGTCAGACTATACAACCAACGCAGCCCCCAGTAGACCCCCCCTACACACACCACAACACAGACTATATCACCCCTTGCTGCTAAATACCATCCAACTATGTGCAATATGTGCTATATGTGCAATATATATATGCCGTTAATAATTGTGTAATATATACCTGGCTGCTAAATCCTAAGAACTGTTACAGGATGTGTATTTAGAAAATTATGCAACTTTTTATTTTTTATTATATTTTGTATTATATCATAACTTAGTACTTTTTTGTAATGCATGTAACATATTAAGCTGTCTGTGGCTCTTTTTCCTGCTGTACTGTAACTACGCAAATTTCCCTCTGTGGAACTAATAAAGGTATTCTGATTCTGACTCTGATTCTGACACCTTACTTCTTCCTTCTGTCTGTCTGTACCTGCGTACTCTCATGTTCCGAATAACCCAGCTTCCCCCAAATTTCTTTTTGGTGTCTATCTACGCCAGGATACTGAGTCGTGGCTGAACCTGTCACTTTGGTCCTGCCTGACTCTCATCATACTACTTCCCTAATGGCTCCCGCAGGATTGTTGACATCCTCGTGGATTCATCTTCTTATTATAGACACATATTTCCAAATATTTGGTCTACCTATGTTGTAAATGTATTATCTCTTCGATTTACACACGGCACCTATTGCACGTCTGCCCGTCCTGGGAGAGGGATCCCTCCTCTGTTGCTCTCCCTGAGGTTTCTCCCATTTTCCCCTTTAAACTGTGGGGTTTCTCTGGAAGTTTTTCCTTGTACGATGTGAGGGTCTAGGACAGAGGGTGTCGTATTGTCATACTGATATTCTGTACAAACTGTGAAGTCCACTGAGACAAATGTAACATTTGTGATATTGGGCTATATAAATAAACATTGATTGATTGATGAAGTTACACAACACGTAAACAAGTACTTCAAATGTATACTTAACTACAGTACTTGATTAATGTACTTAACAACATTCCATAATTTTTAAGTATAAGAAGACAATTGAGCTTCTTGACCTGTATGTTGTTGGCTTGCTAACAAAAAGGTAAAATATGTGTTTTAAAGAGCATTTCAAACGTTGAACTATAATATAGCTTGAAGGACATGGTGCGTGTTGTTTTCCCCAATAGTTAATATAATGATTACATGTAATATTATTTTGTAATGTGGTGTTGCCTATACGTTCATTTCCTTCCATTTTGTAAACGGCTGGCTCCCTGCGCGCGCACTCTCTGTGCTCTCTAATTAGTGCGCGCACTCTTGTATGAAGGTGGAGACTCGACTTGTCGCTGCTGCGCGGAAGAAGAAACTTGTGCGGTTAAAACTTTGATAAACATCGTTAAATTTCTGCCACATACCCAGACATATATGCTTCTCAAGAACTCTCCCAATGTTTGACGAAGGAGAGGAAACCGACAACGGCGAGAGAGCCCGGCTCCCTGAGTCTTCCTCCCCGCCTTTGACTGTATGTCTTCCCGGAGGATCTCCTTCCTCACCGCGGCCCCTGGACCTCTTCTCCTCCGCCTGTCCTCTGCTGGGGGACACTGACCCGCCATACATCGCCACTCCGGAGTGTCTTCACTTGTCTGCGGAGAAGCTGGGACCCGTGGACTCCCCGCACTACTCGCCGCCAAAGTTCTGCTGGAGAACCGGGGACACCGACTCTCCGTTTAGCTCGCGGCACGAGGTGCGGATAGATGATTTGTACGACCGCCATGACCCGTTACCCAAATGGAGAGGACGAGGCGCTGCGAACTCGGAGCGCCTTCAGCACCGCGGACAGAGACAGCACGGGGCTCCGGAGCTCTCGGACCATGGGAACCACTCCACTGAGCTCATCGACACCGGGTTCAACTCCGACACCAGGCAAACGTGAGCCATCCTGTCATATTCACCCACAACTTTGGTTCATCACCCCCAACATACATGATAAATAAGTAAAGTCACCAGTTTTCAGGCCTTGTGTAAAGTATATGTGCTTATTTATGAAGTCTGCAATGTTATGTTATGCAGAGAGCTTGCTGAGTGATGGTTTAGAAATGCCAAAGCCTTTCTGGGTTGAGACTAGGATTCAATCAACAGCAAATAATCCACCTGGGTGTCAACAAGTAGAGGTCAGGGTTGGAGAGGGTAGAGTAAAGCCAGTATTTGGACTGAGCCAGATGCATTGACCTGTATGCATGGGCCACTGATTAGCTCTCAGCTGTGCTTGCAGGTCCTTTATGGATTAAATAGACCTGTAAGCAGTAAATAGAATAAAGAATAGACCATTATTAAGGCCGTCATGCTCTCGTGCACTGCTTGAATTGCAATCAGATGTCCCATGCAGTCACTGAAAGGACTATAGAAATGATTGCAAAACCCTATTCACACACACTTAACATGCACAAAATATCATTAAACCTTTAATGGCAATTGCTTTGCCAAATTGCTGATGTGTC